CTCTATTGCCTAGGCTGGAGTGCAGTGGCACCATCTCGGCTCACTGCAACCTCTGGCTCCCAGGTTCAAGCAGTTCTCCTGTCTTAGCCTCCCAAGTAGCTGGGAATATAGGTGCCCACCACCACACCCAGCTAATATTTGTATTTTTAGTAGAGATGAGGTTTCACCATATTGGTCAGGCTGATTTCAGACACATGACCTCATGTGATCCACCCTCCTTAGCCTCCCAAAATGCTGGCATTATAGGCATGAGCCACCGTACCTGGCTTTTTTTGGGGGTGTAGGGGAGACAGTCTTGCTCTGTCACCCAGGCTGGAGTGCATGGCACCATTCTGGCTTACTGCAACTTCGCCTCCGAGGTTCAAGCAATTCTCATGCCTTAGCCACCTGAGTAGCTTGGGACTACAGGCATGTGCCACCATGCCTGATTAATTTTTGTATTTTTAGTAGCAACGGAATTTCCCCACATAGACCAGGCTGGTCTCTAACTCCTGTAATTCCAAAGTGCTGGGATTATAGGTGTGAGCCACTGCACCTGGCTGATATACTATATTTTTCATTTTGTTTTCCACTCATCCACTGATCATTGATGGACATTATGGTGGGTTTTATTTTTGTTTTTGTTTTTTTTTTTTTTTGAGCTGGAGTTTCGTTCTTGTTACCCAGGCTGGAGTCCAATGGCACAATCTTGGCTCACTGCAACCTCTGCCTCCCGGATTCAAGCGATTCTCTTGCCTCAGTCTACCGAGTAGCTGGGATTACAGGCGCCCGCCACCACACCTGGCTAATTTTTTGTATTTTTAGTAGAGATGGGGTTTCATCTTTTCGCCAGTCTGATCTTGAACTCCTGACCTCAGGTGATCCACCTGCCTCGACTTCCCAAAGTGCTAAGATTACAAATGTAAGCCACTACCCCCAGCCTTGGGTGGTTTTTATTGTTTGACTTTTATGGAAAATTCTGTTATGAACATTTCATGTTCAAGTTTTTATGAGGATGTGTATTTTCTTGGGTGTATACCTAGGTGTGTGGAATTACTGGGTCATGTGGTAACTGTTTTCTCCTTTTGAGGAACTGCCAGACTGTTTTTCAGAGAGCGAAATCATTTAACATTCCCGCCAGAAGTGGATGAGGGCTCCACTCTCTCCCTCCATGTGCTCACCAACACTTGTTGTGCCTTTTTTTTCTTAAAGTTGTTTTTATGTTACTCCTAGTGCATGTAAAGTGGTATCTCATTATGGTTTTGATTTGCATTTCCCTTTCTGTGCTTTTTGGCCATTTGCATTTCTTCTTTGGAGAATTGTGTATTCCAACCCTTTGCTCATTTTTTAATTGGGTTGTCTTTATTACTGAGTTGTAGGAGTTCATTATATTCTGGGCACAAGACTCTTATGTATGTGATTACGAATACTCTCCTGTATTCTGTGAATTATCCGTATCTCTAGGAACATTTCCTGGTGAAAATCTATTTTGTCTGCTATCAGTAGAGCCACTCCATGTTGTGATTCCTGTTTGCCTGATCCATCTTTTTCCTCCTTTTACCTTCAGTCTGTTTGTGCCTTTGAATCTAAAGTGTGTCGCTTTTAGACACCATATAGTTGACCTGGGGGTTTTTTGTTTGTTTGTTTTTTCTAAGTCCAGGGGGAGAACACGCTCCCTTTTAATTGAAGTGTTAAATCAGTTCACATTTAATGTTGCGATTGAACTAGTTGAATTTACACCTTCCATTTTACTTCATTTCCCTGATATGTCCATGTTTTTTTTTTCTCTTTTCCTCTTTTACTGCTTTCTTTTGCACCAAACAAGTGAATTGTTTAGACAAGGAGTGTGGAAAAGGAAGCGGGGTGGTGGAGAGGGGGAGGGGAAAAGGTCATGATGAGTATGTTCCCACCCTGTGGAGACTTCAAAGGAGATGGTGGAAGCTGCGCCACTGTCTCACTCCGCCACCAGGTGGTGGTGTAGATCGAGAACATTTGTGCTCTTTGACCCTGCACAAGTTTGTGTTCACAGCCCAAGAAGTATGAATAAATGCTTTTTTTTCTGACCTTTATTGTAATTTTCATTGAGGCACCGAAAGGATAATTACAAGTGATTCTTTGCTTGTTAAAGGGTTTAAATATTTTCTGGACTTTAATCTCGAGAAATTTTCAGCTTCAGTTTTTTCCTCTTAATGGTTTAAATATTTATATATGAAAGTAATAACTTATAGTTAGAAAATTATTCAGTGTGTTAGAGAATTGACATTCTCCAATTATGCAAAGACCAGACAATCATATATAGGCATACACAGTAAGTTCTTACTTAATGTCATTTATGGTTCTTGGAAACTGTGGTCATAGGTGAAATGACATATAAGGAAACCAGTTTTACCATAGGCTGATTGATATAAACAAAAGT